AAAAAAAAAATACTCAGAAATGGCAAGTCGACACAATACTTGTTTACCCTGCGATATCAAGCATTTGTTTATCAATAACGAACCAATATATTTTTATACCTACTCTAAACCGCTGAGTTTTTTATTTAGAAGAATTCCGTTATTAAAGTCCTTGATAAGCATCATACTGTTTTAATTGCCCAACTTTCACCCACTTTGATGTCCTCATGCCGGCCCCTCGTGCTTTCAACACAATATCCGTAATTACCAAAAAACGTCGCTCAAACACACAGGTATAATCGCCGATTTAGTGCTTGTAGGCCTGCCAGGTTGGTTGCAATTGCATTGCGCTGTCAAAAAAGCGCCTACTATACTAGCAAACACGAGCGCGTCCGGAAACTTTCAACACTGGCAAGTACGAGCGCACCTTACGTTCAGAAGTGTGTTTGCGCCTCTGAATCTGCAGATGCAAGCTCCTGGTGCTGGTGAAACGTCTTGTGCACAATAGCCTAAAGCCCCGAAAAACCCACTAGTGTTTGCTCCATTGCGTTTGTCAAGAGTTAATGGCAACGAGGAAATAATACCCACATGAAGAGGAAAAACTCGCGATGTGAGATACATTTTGTCCGTCACGGGCATACCGAGCCACTGTACAAGCCTGTTCAAGCGCCTTAAATTCGCGGCGACGTCTGGAAATCGCGATTGTGGATCCGATTTGATCCAGATGGGCGGTGTTGCCGTTGTGGGGCCCTTCCCGTCTGATCTAATAAGCACATGGCCTAGATAGGGGCGACTGAGAGCCCCCTCAAGCCCCATTTTTTAGGGGGTCCAACTCCAAACAAGGCGTCCAGATCAAGCAGACAAACGGCCCTCGCACCTTGAACGCGAAGGCTAATAATTCATCACCAAGGTGGATATTTATAAATAAAACGAGAGAAGCCAACGAGACTGGCAGATAACGAATTTGGGTCAATGTCTAGCTATCTGAGAGCAAAGTTTATCACGTTAAAAATAGATGAGGAGCATTCTGGTAGTTTATTAATACGCATCGAGGCGCATTTCTTCATTGTGCGACAGTCCATAGGGTGTGTACCTATTGCGAAAGAGCTGGGGCCCCAAACAGACCGAGTTCAACGTGTGGCTCGCCTAGAGAGCTAAAATCCACTTATCGGAAATGCCAGCAACAAAGAGGACTTAGATTAATTAATTCCATTAACTGTTGTTCGTTTATTTTTCGTTGTCTAATTAGCAGCCGAGGAAATTGCACTTTCCGGAAATCTGACGCTGCATAAATGCGTCAGCACACTGCAAATTAGACACTTTTGTTTAAAATACGGAAAGGGGGGTCCGGCTGCATATCGAGCTCATTAATCAGCAATTGTGTCCCC